AATTTTATAGTATTTCTCTCTTCAAATTAGTAGCCTATTGTATCTCCAACAGTGAGTCTACCTGCTCTCTTAGTCACCAAACTCAAGAGAAGGAAAATCCTAAGCTATCTTTCTTGTACACCTAAGACAATTCATCTCCTAGCTTCAACAACATAATTATGACTGCTTAATGAGGAGCATATTTGGATACCGATTTGAGGTGTAAAGAGTGCTCAATGTCTAGAAAACAAATTTATATCATATCTATTCTTGTTTGCATTTCTCTATTTTTTAAAAAATGTAAGTATTTATATCCAGATGATCTAATAATCTGAAATTTTAAAATATTTTCTCTCTCATACTAATTGGGGGAAAAAGTACATCCTCAAGCACCTTATATTTGCAAAAAGTCTTAAAATGGTTGACATTATTCTAAAAGTTTAGATGATTCATTTAGGATTACCATACATCTGAAACAGTCTGACCTAAGCACATAGGGATGACTCATGGTATCAATAAAAGTGATGAGCTGAAAACGGTTTAGCTCAGTGGATAGAGCGTCGGCTGTGGACTGAAAGGTCCAGGGTTCGATTCCAGTCAAGGGCATGTACCTTGGTTGCGGGCACATTCCCAGTGGGGGTGTGCAAGAGGCAGCTGGTCGATGTTTCTCTCTCATGGACATTTCTAACTCTCTATCCCTCTCAATTTCTCTCGGTGTAAAATCAATAAAATATATTTAAATAAATAAATAAATAAATAAATAAAAGTGATGAGAGACTTGGATCTGATGGGTGAATTGAAATTTTAACATAAAACATCACCATTAATATTATTATCACCAGGATCATTATCATTATCATCAGCATGTCCAGAATTAAAGTGTTGCTTCAGCTCCTCGTTAGATCTTTGTATAAGCCATCATAGCCCCATAGTCTTAAAACTCCATGTGGTCAAGTAAAGACTTAATTTTTAAAAATTACACAATATTCCACAACTGAGTTGTTTTGAGATATATTCCTCAGTTGTTGTTTATAGGTGATTGTGCTTGATTTTTCTGGGCACTGAGCTCCATTTGGCTTAATATTTGTTCATAAGTATCATGTCCTAGATTGTTTTGACACAGGGGTTTGTTAATTATCCTTACCTTATGTAGTATAGTTAAAATGAACATAAAGAAAGAGAGAGGGAGAGAGAAAAAATATATAGTTTCATCTGCAACAAAAACTATATGGGTGAAGGAAAATCAAATTGAATCAAACTGAGGATCAGCTTGAAAGCCTATCCTACTGTTCATAGCACACCAGTGGAGCCGCCTCCAAGTTGCATTGTTCAGACATAAAAAGAAGTATCATAGAGCATTAGGCTCTTAAAGAACTAACTTAGTTAAAATCTTAGATTTGTGCTCTAGCTCAGCCCAATCAACAAAAATCCAGCTGGCCTAATTCTTGTTACATCCTTTGGCACGCCCATGACCATTTTCACATACCAAATGCTCTACATTTAAAAATCTCTGAGCTGCCTCAGGAGAACACACAGGGAGAATGGAACTGGGTCACATGACCTTTTCTAAGAAATATTAGAAAATTCCAATGATATTAAGCAAGCAAATTTCTAGGCAATCAAAATATCTTTGATTAAATGTGTAAAGGTAAAACCTATACCAATGGACATCAGGAAATTGTCCTCTGGGATTGTCAAAAATAGATAAATATCAGAGTTAACAGATCTGTTCATTTTTTATACTGTCCTTTTTAAATATATATTTTATTGATTTTACACAGAGAGTTAGTGACAGGGATAGAGAGTTAGAAACGTCAATGAGAGAGATACATCGATCAGCTGCCTCTTGCACACCCCCTACTGGGGATGTGTCTGCAACCAAGGTATGTGCCCTTGACCGGAATCGAACCCGGGTCCTTTCAGTCCGCAGGCCGACGCTCTATCCACTGAGCCAAACCGGCTTTGGCTATACTGGTTTGTTTATACCTTCCTCTCAATAGCTCACCTCAGACAATTACACCACACAGATAGACTCAGAATTCATGCTAGAAACATAAATAGTTTATGGGCTCACAATGTTATTGCTGACTCTAGCTTGACCAAGCTTATTTCAATGGTCAGACTTCCACTGACTAACCAGGATTCTGTCCCCTACTCAAGCATAGAATAAAGAGAAAGACAATTGTCTTACATTGGTCTTTAAAGTGGAAGGAGAAAATGTTCATTGTTTTCTGGAAAAATTATTGAAAGTCAGTTTTTGATGTGGTAGTTCTAAATGTGTCTCTTTTATTTTGTCATTTTGTCACAGAGATACAATGGAAGAGAAAGTTTTGTACAAAGTGCCTTTAACTATTTTTCTGCATGATTGAAAATTGCATCATTCTCTTATTACTTTGATAGTGAAGATCTGAGTTAAATGAAAAAGGAACTATTTATATTACATTTGTTTTCTCAATTAAGATATATTTGGGGCATATTACAGAGATATAATGAATCGCCACAAATTTAAGTATTTTACTTAATGATAAAAAATGAGTACCTTGATTTTTATATAAATTGAAGAAAAATAGTTCTAATATAATTTCTCTAAATGAATCATGATTCTTTACAAAGATTTTTTTAAATGCATGAAATTTTATCAGGATTATTTTAATTGAACATGTAGAATACTACACCTCCACTGGCATAGGCCTGAAGGCACTGTCTGCGTGAGTTCATCAAGTCAGGGAGAGACCCCAAAGTGCTGCCCATGGGCAAGGTCCTGTGCTCTGCCCACTTCTGTGGGCTGGATCCGCAATCACATTTTCTCCTTTTGTAGTTGTAGAATATGTGACAGCAGCTACACATTCTCTCAAGTTCATGTGCAATGGGCAGGAAAACTGTCCTTTCCATAAAGCTCTAACTTTTTCCCCTGGCTTGGCTCAAGTGCTTCTACCCAAATTAATCTCCAGAGCCAGGGGAATGCAATGCCCAACATCACCCTCTTTACCCTGAGATTCTTAGCACAGGCACTGCACTGAGGTGACACAGTCTATGAGTGGAAGGCAGGGTATATTTCCATGGGAGAATTGGAGGTATAATGGTCAGAAAGAGACAAATTTTTTTTTGGGGGGGGGGAGGGAGTAAGGGAAGATAGATGCTCCTGCAAAGACTTACTTTTCCTTTTGTGAAAAATCTTGGAAACAAATCAAGAAATCCAACAGTACCAGATGCCCCCATATTCAGAAATGCATGCTATTACAGACATCTATATATATATATTTTCTTTTACAGACACCTATATATCTTTCCACATAGCCTAATCTGTTTTATTTTTTAACCAATGGACTTGAATTTTTTACAGTTATAATAAAAATGTACATGTTGTTGGATAATGTGCTTCTTAGTATTATTTTGTGAAGGCTTTTAGAAGTATTAACATAGTCCTCATGTTAATTTTTCATTGAGCAAAATTTTATCAGGAAAGTCTAATGTATAAGCTCATTTTTCTTTCAGGGCAAAGCAAATGTGTGTGGAAAGTGTGTAGAAATACCTCCTTGGCAATTATATATATTTAATATAATTGGGACCATACTCTTGAAATAGTCCTCTCTTGTCCTAGACAGTTTGGCTCAGTGGACTGAAAAGTCCAAGTTCAATTCCAGTCAAGGGCACATGCCTGGGTTGCAGGATCAATCCCCCAAAGGGGGTGTAGAGGAGGCAGCCAATCAACGATTCTATCATCACTGATGTTTCTCTCTCTTTCTTGAGTCAGTTGGCTGATTATATACTCACGAGAACGAAAATGGCTATGTGCAGCTGCAAGTGTAACATGAAAGGAAGGTTAGGGATTGAAGTCTGGCCTTCAGGAGCTCAAAGTCTGATAAAAAGGCAGCTAATCTTCCATAATGCTACAAACAGATCAGCCTGTTCCCGGGACTAGAAAATGGTCAGCATTCCTGAGAAAAATTCTTTTTTTATTATTTATTTATTTATTTATTTATTTATTTATTTATTTTGTTTGTTTGTTTGTTTGTTTTATATTTTATTGATTTTTCACAGAGAGGAAGAGAGAGGGATAGAGAGTTAGAAACATCGATGAGAGAGAATCATCGATCAGCTGCCTCTTGCACACCCCCCCGACTGGGGATTTGCCCTCAACGAAGGTACATGCCCCTGCCCAGAATGGAACCTGGGACCTTTCAGTCCCCAGGCCGACTCTCTATCCACTGAGCCAAACTGGTCCCAGCCTGAGAAAAATTCTTGGAGGAGGTCAGGTCCTAGCACAGAAGCCAAATCAAAGAGTGCTCTGTCCTTCATCTGTTCTCAAAATATATTTCTTTTAAGCGTAAAGGACCCATCAAGGCATCTTATCTTTATAAAGCCTTGTTTCATCTTCCAGTTTCCCAGGGTCTGTAAGAGGACCTTTTATCTAAAGTTGGTAAGCTGAATAATTATTATATAAGCGTGGCTCTATTCTTATTGTGTGCCCTTCCCCACTATCACTAGGATTCCTCTCAGTCAGCAGGAATTGGTGTGATTTGGTGTGATTATATAGAGTAGACAGTGTTTTAAATCTTCAGTAGCATTAAACATTTTAGTTTTAGTCTATCAAGAAGAAGGGAAAGTGGGCTCTTTTCAATGTTTTACATTTTGATAAACCTAGACATAGCCAATAAAACTACAAACATTTTAGCAAAGAAAACACATTTTCACTATGAAAGCATAAAAATAAAATACAAATTGCATTGAGTAGTAGTTATTTTTAAGTATGTTTTTATTGATTTTAGGGAGAGAAGAAAAAAGAAGGAGAGACAGAAGCATCCTTATGAGTGTTGGGGACCAAACCTATAATATAACCTGGGCATGAGCCCTGACAGGGAATTAAACTAGCGACCTTTGGGTATACTGGATGACTTTCAACCAACTAAGCCAGACCAGCCAGAGATACATTTACTGGTATTTCAAGTTAACTCTCAGTGCAAGATTTAACCACTTTTATGATTATATAAATTGTCATTTATTGTTTCTCTACATGCCACTTTTTTCCTCACTGAAAGCAATACATTTTCAAGTTTTCATGTGTTATTTCTGCAGAGAACCAACATTTTGTTTACTTGTATTTAAAACAAACCCAGATTATTTGTATAAAAAAAGATAATATATCAAGTCATCCAACCTCAACAAGCCACAGTGTCAGAAATAATAGAGGATTCATGCCAGAATGGACCAAGAACAGTTGCATAAAGGAAGGCAGTAGTGTGGAACAGGCAGTGTTTGAATCAATGGCTAGCTCATTTCTGCAGTGCAATAGGCTTGCTTTCCTTTTCAGGGTTTAAATGTAAGAATTTGCTTCATGTTACAATGGGATAATTTTAAACATCTTAGAAGGACTCTTTGGAATGTGTACATTTTCTTTCCAGATTATATAACTAACAAAGATAGTTTAGGTCAGTTTGGAGAGACAGTGGCTCACTGATCACCAGCAGAGCCCACTGCTCATCCATATCTTATAGAACACACTTATTTAATGAATGAGAAGCAGTATTTCATTTCAGAATGAAATTAAGTCTCGGCTCTTCTTTAATTGAAGGGCCTCTCACAGTGCAGCTACCTGGTGTGGACTACCCCCAGGTGAGGTCGCTTTTGCCACCATTTTTATCTCTTTGTAAAGTTGTAGGGGAGAGGACTGTGCTCATTTTTCACACTCTTTCTTCGAACAGACCTGATGGCAGATAGAGTTCATTTCAGAATTGCTTGCCTCACTACTCCAGGAAGAGCATGTGGGAAGCCCACAGGACTTCTCTGTTCAAAGGCCCAGTTTATATTCTTCTGCAGAGGTTTTGGCTCACCTCTGAGATGGAGCTGGGTAAGGGTTGGCCAGTGCCTGCGGGGAAAGAAGAGATCATTTTATACAGAACAACTTATTTCTGTGGCCTCCTAGAGTGAGACACACTGAGGGATGGCCCTCACAGAGAGAATGGACACAGAGAGAATGGACGCATAGGAGCAGTTTCTGAAACCTGACTCAAAGAACAGTTCTCGATAGCTTTCTCAGGTCGCTGCTATGCAAAAGGTTTAGCCCTCTGGGTAAAAAGATATGTGTATCCAGTAAACCCCCACAAACATACCAAACCTCTAAATAATCTTATGTCAAAGCAAGACAAATCAGTTATATGTTATACGTTGGCATGTATTAATGATCAGTTACTTACTATGATATGGAATAATGGAGCTACAGAATAAGTAAATTTTAAGGGAAACCCAAGATAAATCCAGGGCGAGGGGTACTTCAGGAGGAACAGTCAGTGGGCACAGTATGTACCGTAGGTGTCACAGCAACTACAGACCAGCATTGGAACCCAGACATTGGGAACACGCAGTAGAAGGAGCCCTTGTTAAAGGGACCAGAGAAGCAAATTTAAAAATAAACTAAATGTTTATTTATTTCATATTAAACTTATGACCCTCCTGTTACTCAAAATGCAAGAATCAAATTAATATGTAAAAATGACATGTGCACAATACAGCCTGAAGTGTTTTATTGGGGAGGAAATCCCTAGAGCTATCAGTCTGAGAGGGAGAGGGAGAGAGATAGAGAGAGAAACTACTCTACCAGGCCCTTTCAGAGGGGAAAAAGAAGGGATATTTTAGAAAAGAAATATCACCTCTTTAAGAATCATGTCTAAAGTCAACTATGCTACTACATTTTTAGTATAATCATTGCTATTCATGTGTTTATTCTTTAAAAGAACAGAATCACCCTACTATTTTTAATTGCACTTATTGTCCTCAGAAAGTGAAGTGTGTGTGTGTGTGTGTGTGTGTGTGTGTGTGTGTGTGTGTATAAGCATGGATTGACAGGCTTGGCAAAGTAACAAGAGGGTACTCAAATCCCAGATGTCAATTCTTATAGCCAGCTGAATTGAGATATCTATCTCTCTTTTTTTAATATGTACCCAGTGATCTTATTCCTAAAAGGGATATGAAGTGCTATGTAATTAGCAGATAGCCATCCTATATATTATAATAAAGAGGTAATATGCAAATTGACCCTCACACCATCACACAAGATGGTCACTCCCCATGTGGTCAAAGATGGCCACCACAAGATGGCTGGCAGGGGAGGGAGGGCATCTGTGTTTTCTGATCAGGGGAAAGTTGGTGGCAAGCAATCCAGCAGGAGAGGGCAGATATTTCTGATCAGAAAACACAGATGTTTACATTACAATTCATAACAGTAACAAAATTACAGTTATGAAGTAGCAAAGAAAATAATGTTATGGTTGGGGGCCACCACAACATGAGGAACTGTATTAAAGGTTCATGGCATTTTGAAAGGTTGAGAACCACTGATCCAGAAGGTCATCTAGCATATGCTAATTTGTCTAATTAGCATATTAACTCTTTATTATATAGGTTGGTGAGTGAGCAGAAACTATATTTCTGTGTTGTTTTTTTGTTGGTTTGTTTTTTTATCCTCACCCAAGGATATTTTTTCATTGATTTTTTTAGAGAGAGTGAGATTGACATGGGAGAGGAAGAGAGAGAAAGATTGGAGAGAAAAAACATGGATATGAGAGAGAGACATCAATTTGTTGCCTCCAGCACATACCCCAACCAGGGACAGGGAACAAAACCATAACCCAGGTACATGCCCGTGACCCAGAATCAAACCCAAGACCCTTCAGTGTGTGGGAGAACACTCTAACCACTGAGCTAACCAGCCAGGGATATATTTAAGTTTTGACTCAAGATGTTCATGGTGAAGTTGCCAACTTTTAAACATATTAAGTGTTACTTTATGGTCTATAAGCAAGAAATTTTGAGGATTGATATTATGAAACATTTCTGAGAAAACCAAGGGAAGGAAGAACAAAAGAAAACCAATGCTTTGTGAATACTGTAACTGATGTGGAGAGAGAAGACACAAAGTTTTATCAGTAATCAGTCCTAAACAATGAATGAATGTGTTGACTGAATTATCCATAAGTTTATGCTTAACATGAGTGCTAAAAAAATAACAACAAACACACACACACACACACACACACACACACACACACACACACAAAAACCACCTTTATTTGCTTCACTTTGAGATTTAACATTTTTAACATTTAGGGCAAGTTGTTTTTAGAAATTTGAGGACACTTATCTAACCAGGTACTGAGATTTCTGTGTAATATCTGGCTTAGCTTCCTCGAAACCTTTTCCTCTGCTTCCCTCTAGTGAGTCAGAGGCAACAAAACAGGAGGAACACAAGCAACTCACTTTATTAAGTTTAAGCTGGGGACAAAAAATATGATTGAGAACCCCTTCCCTCGGGACCTTTACATTAAAAGTCATGGTAAATTGCTCTTTAAGCCTCTTATTTTCAGTGTGGGCATTAACTCTTATGTGGAGAGATTAATAACAGCAGAGCTGAGATCTTCAGAAACCATTGAGTCTAGAAAGTCAACGCTGGAACTGCCTCACTGAGGCGAGACCGGCTGTCAGGTAATGTTTCCAGTAGATATGTAAAATGAAGACATGTTGTTGCTGACACCATCTAAATGATCAAGGAAACATAGAGAAGGCACAGAGCAGAATTGCCTAATAATGGCCCCTGCTAGTAAGCTCCTCAGAACCTGGGATCCCTGGGGACAAATCCACAGAAAGAGAGGATGCTGAACTGTGTGACAACTAAGTTTACATATATTTACTAAGTAAGTGTGTATGCTTCTTGTTTAAAGAAAGAAAAATTGAACACAAAAGCACTGGCAATAGGCACTTTAATTATATCTTATTTACTGAGATGTGTGAACCCAAGATGGTCAGTGAAAACTTACTTCCACTTTAACTGAATTAGGAGGGCTTCCCTCAATGTTGTTGTTTTTCTATTTGTTTTGTTTTGTTTTTGTGTTTTCTTTTCCACTGATGCAAAATTTTAATGAAGTCACCAATACATATATTCTTCTGAGAAATGTTCTGAGACATCCACTTTATGATTTCAGATATATAAGGATCTTTTTTACTGATATATTTTTTTAGTTTGCATGGCAAGAAAGAAAAGTCACAAACCAAATCCAAAAAATACGATTTTTAAAAATTGATTAAAAATGAGTGTTAAAACTGCATATTTCAAATAAAAAAGACAATTCATACAAGTCCAGCAAGGCAAGGTGGAAACTGGAAGTTGAAATAATCTCTTATAAACTTACAAAAGGAATCAAAGATGAATTATAAAAAATAAAATTTTGGTCAGAAAATCCCTACTATATAAAGCCACATAAGGACACCTATTGTTTTCTTTAAGGTGAAATGAAATCAAAGTATTGTTTTTTGTCATTGTTGTTTGTTTGTTTGTTTTACAAGTTCTCACTTACAAGCACCTCAAAAGTGTGGATTTCTAAGCATAGGACTACAGAGGATCACAGTACTATCTGTGAGATAAAGGTGGATTTTTTCAGCAAATGAGGTAGATAAGGTTGGTTTGGATCAAGATGGGAATGTCAGCAGATGCTGTTTCAGTACCATTTAATTATTAAGTATCATATTAGATAATTTACACATTAGCTTCGTATCTGAATTTTGATGATCCTGGAATGTTCAAGGGCAAATTTCATGTTAGGCATCTTGCCACACTGTCATTGGCAAAGCTGTGGTTATGATTTGCAGCACACTCTCACTTTTATTTATGCACCATTTGTTTATCACACATTTTGTACTAGACATTGTCTCAAGCCTTAAAAACACATAAGAAATGGCTTTTACATAATTGTGAAATTCAGTCTAGTAGGGGATGTGGAGAGTGGGGGGAAGCCTGAAATCAAAGATCAGAGAAGAGGCAATGTCACCAGCCCCAGTGGAAGTTGGCAGTGCTTAGAGGAGAGAGGAAAAAAAGAAACAGAGATGACTGAGAGAATGAGAAACTCATTGTGGTCATAGAAGTAGACCAGGTTTTCTGACAAATTGGATGTAGAATGTAGGAGAATGAATGTAAGTTGACTCCTAAGTATTTGGAGATCCATTTACTAATGTGGGGGATTTTTTTTAATGGGTTTCAAAGGG